GGAAAAAAAAAAAAAAAAAAAAAAAAAAAAAAGACAGAAACAGACGGGAAGGTCCCCCAAGAGAAAAATTCACCAAGTTGAACCCAACTTTCAAAATGAAGCATTCTCTCTGGTGGCCACAGAATCATGCTAGATGCCTGGGTACCATCTCTTCAGGCATCCAGGGCACCTAGGAAAGGCTGTGCACTGTCACGAACCTACGCAGCCACTCCTGAGCTGGCTCTTGCTGTCCTTACTCAGAAGAAAAACCTGAGGCCAAGGCAGGCTACTTCGACCAGGGTGGCCCAGACAAGGGGCAGGAAGTCACTGTCCACACTTCCCCAGGTGTCAAGTGGTCCCTACTATGGTCTTCTAGAGGAAGGTAAATAAAAAGGGAAAATTATGTCTGTCTTATGCAAATGAATGTCCCATGTACCAATTCACCTCCTCTTCTTATAATTCCCTGACTTCAACTCCTCTGGAGTTCTAAGCTAAGGAAAACTTTGCAGACTTGAAAGACTCAGAAGCATAATCACAAAACCTTTGTTTTCTTAGACCCAGGTTCGATTAATCAGAATTTAATAAGGGGAGAAAAGAATTTCCCAAAGGCAGATTAGCAGTTTCAACACTGAAGCACACACATCCACACCAGCATACACATATCACAGGCACACATCTCAGTCAAACAACTCACATATTATCACAAAACTCTCAGAGCAATAGATAAAGCATAGCTATTTATCCACCCAGGTACTGTCATCACCATCATCCCATCTAAAATCTCTCACTGTTTCACCAAAATGTCGAGTATATTTTGACAATTTTTCCTGTCTTTGTCAGCAAGTAAAATAATTCCAGCTGTAAAAGGAAAAAGTCACAAACACAAACACAGAGAAGGGAGGAAGGCAGGGAGGGACAGGGACAGGGACAGAGAGAGAGGGAGGAAGGGAGGGAGGAGGAGATGGGGAGAGAGAGCCAGAACCTCTCCAAGAATATCTTTAGGATTATCTCACCTTGGAAAAGGAAAATGAAAATCCTGAGAAAACTGAAAATGTTAAGATTGATTTATTGCTTTGTGGAAAGGGAGTAGGTAAAAACCTCATACTAATGAGCGGACACTTCCCTTTTTTGATTTAGTATTATTAAACTTTACCTCATGGAGTAAGATAAAGCCAATAAAAAATGAGACATCACATCGCTGTAGCCATGCAGGGAGCCCACTGACAGAAGACCATGGAAGACCAGTGTGGCCTCGCAGGCACAGCACAGCTCCAGCACCCCTTCAGGCCCCAACCTGCTGGGCTCTGCCCAGTGAGCACTCCTTTCAGGGACAAGGGCATGCTGCCCAGCACTGGTGGCCAGAAACTCACTTGGTAATGGCTTGGGGCCTTCACTGTCTCCCATGTTTCTAATAACTAGGTCCTTTCCACTGTGAGGACCCAGACCTTAGAAGTACTTGATCCAGCCAGTCAGCAAGGGGAAGCTCTGGGGGACTGGTTTAAGACACACACACTCACACATCACACACAGACACCAGATACTGGGTCAGAGGAGTTGTCGTCCTCTCCTGAGATGCCAGCTGTTGTTCCCAAGATGCTCACAGGTTGGCAGCAGTCACCAACACAAGCATTAAGAGTGGGACCTTCAAGAGGGATTCAGAGGCAGTGCCTCTGGACTGGATTGACAGTGTTATTGCGGGAGTGTACTAATTATTGGCCTCCAAAACTGCAAGTAAATAAACTTCTGCTCTTTTAAATTAAGTCTCAAATATTCTGCTACAGCAACAACACCAACATCAACAAAAAGCAGAAGACTTCCCTGTGCCGACAGAAGCCCTCAGAGCATCTGAAAGAGCTCTTTAGAACAGTGAGATCCCGTACTCCTCCTGGCCCCCATCCTAGAGACCGTCCCGGAGCCCCACCCCTGGTGTTTGGATTTCCATTCCAAGTTCTTTACTTGCAAGATTGCTCTACTCCCCCAAAGTCCAAGAAACACAGTGAGTGTCTTGTGAATTAAATGATTTTTTTTTCTTCCAAACTTCATTTAACTTCTGAGAAATCTTGTTTCCCTCTCACAAAACCTGTGATTCCCATCTTGACAGTTCAAAGACCTTGCTAACGTGCAGTTTCTGCCACATGTCCCTCACTCCAAGTCTGTGGGTTTTACTAGAGCTTTAAGAATTCACTCCTGGCACTGACCAACCCAGACAAGAAGGCCACATACTAGAAAAAGTCCCAAACCTGGCCTTGAGGATGAGGGATGGGACCACCCAGACTTCCCAGGACAAGGGGACCTGCCTTCGCAGGAGGGTGGCACCGGTGACAGTTGTCCTGTGGCTCACCCTGCCAGGAGTTGATGTCCTCTCACTGGGAATTGTGGCCTGCTTCCTGCTGCAGACTCTGGCATCTTCTATGTAATACGTGTATGCTTGTGTGGATGTGTGTACATCAGGGTTGAAACTGCTAATCTGTCTTAGGGAAATTCTTTTCTCCCCTTATTAAATTCTAGCATCTTGCATTCTACACCACTCTCCTAAGAATGAGTCACCTCTAATGGCTACAGATACCAATTTTACAACTAAATCTATAACGTATTTCAAAATTTTGTCACAAAAATAATGAACATAGAGAAGTGCATAAAATGTACAATCACAATCTACCAAATGACAGTAAAATGAACATCCAGGTAAAGGCACAAAACTCTGCCAGCCATCCAGAAATCCAGAGTCACTGGCCCCATCCTTCCCCTCAAAGGTGTTCACTGTCTTTACTTTGCACTGCATTTTTTCCTTGTATTTTTTCACCTGTATGTGCATCCTTAGCAGTATACCATATTCATGGCATCTAAAACCCTACTGATTGTGAAATATGCCATTATCTCATGTTCATGTAAGAACGAAAAATGATACAATTAAACTGACAAGGACTTCCTTGATTAGACTTTTTACTTTATGCTTTTTAAAAAGAATACTTCTGACTATGTGCATATAGATTTCATAATATATTACCCTGTGTTTACATCAAAATAGAAAATTTAAGCAGAATGCACTGGTGAAGGTGCTTGGATTCCACAGCCTTGGATTCTGCTGTTCACACTCAGGCTGGCCAAGTCCACTCCTCTGCCACATCGCCATCCACGCACAAAGAGCACCGGAGATATTTCTTACAAGAGCACCTCCCTCAACACTACTGACCCTTACCCAGCAAGCTTTAGGGACGGCTGCATCGTCACCACATCGGTCCTGACCCCGCCTTCCGCCCTCCGGAGCTTCCTGCAGCCCACACCGCGGTTCGCAGGCCCGGGTTTAGGTAGCGCCCAGCTGGATAATTCTCCTGCTCCAAGCGTCTCTATCTCAGATGGTTCTGCAGCAGTTAACTGAGGGACTGCTTGGTCTGCAGGTTGGTCTTACTTTTATTTAACAATAATAATAATAATTGTTTGTTCAGAAGCATTCAAAATGTTGGCAAAACAGGTCCAACATTTTTGCAGTTCCAAAGTGGCATTCAGAGATGAAAAACTACCACCTCCTATGGAAATACCTCGAAAAACTAGGTTTAGACATCCCATTTGACCCAGCCTACCCTCTGCTGGGTATCTCTCCAAAAGAATTAAAAGAATCATATCATAGTGATAGATGCGCACCTATGTTTATAGCGGCACAGTTTGTCATCACTAAGACTTGGAAACAGATTCAGAGAGGAAGGAGTACTCCACAGCACCTGACAGGAGAGGAGAGCCCAGGAAGGGAGGGGTCTCCCTGAGGAAGGGGAGCTTGACCTGGAACCTGAAGGGTGAGAGAGAATTGACTGTGGGAAGTAAAATCGGGTAGATATTCCAGCAGAGGAGACAATGAGCCCATGAGTTCCCCTAGATCGTGGCCTGATAGCCAGCAACTCCAGCATGGACGTGGGATAGTTCTTGCATCTCCCACAGCTTCACCCCCACCCCAGGCGCGGGACTGCCTCTGCTGACCACCCTGTGGCCTTCAGAGAGCCGAGCCAGGCCAGGCCGGACTCCTCCTCCTGGAATCATCAGACTGGGACTCCCCACAAACCTTCCCGTCACTACGCTCCTTTCCCACTCTGCTGTTTCACACACTCAGTCCCTGATGGTAAAGACCACATCCCAGGCACTTCCGACTCCTGCTGAGCTATGACCAAACGCTGTGAGAAGCAAAAGCAGCTCCCCAGCAGGTGCGGCTCAGCCCCAAGCCACCCTTCTTGCACAGTGCGCTTGGCAAACTGCAGTGCAGACCCCTATGACTCCACTGCCTTGGCCAGATTCTGAGAATTCTCATTTCTCAACGTCTGCTCCCACAGATATATTCCGATCTACCCGTCCCTACCCCACACTGGGATCGAGGAGGCCCTTAGGCCACAGAGACAGCGGCCAAACATGATGGCTGGCTCCCAAAGAGTCGATCTTTCAGTTTCTGGGTGAACCAGTTTGTCCTTTCATTCTAGTAACTTCCTCCTCTTTGTCATGCCTTCTCCCTAAGGGAGTCTCCAGGTTCCCTGCACCCCGCAGAGAAACACAACCACAGCAGAGGTCTCAGCCCACCCAGCCTCCACATACACAACCGAGGAAGCTTTGAGATTAGCCCAACAGACACATCATGTATCCACCACAGTTTCTGAAAACAGAGGCCTTCAACGGCCTGAATGAGGCCCACCCTCACTGTGGAAGGTGTGTGAGTGTTTACTGGAGAAACAGGTATAATACAAGATACACAAATATATCAGCAGTTATAGACTGGCTTACAATGGCCGCCCACAGGCAGGCGTGGACGAGCGCAAAGGGGCTGTCTGTGTGCTGGAGATCAGAAGGATCCGGTCAAAGGCCTGGGGCTCGGTGTAGTGTCCCCGCAGATCCTATCAGGAGACTACAGGGCCTCGCTGGAAGCCAGGAGAGACCGTCCAAGGTGAAGGTGAAGACTGGAGCCCCTCTGAAGAAATACGCAGGCTTCCGTCTTAATTCCCTTTTATCCCATTCTGGCGACAATCCTCCCTCAGGTGGGTCTTCCGAGCCAATTGTAGCTGGGTGTTTCTTACTCAAGCTGACACAACCAATCAACCAGCACGGAAGGTGACTTGTTTTACACAAAGTTCAATGGTTTAAGTGTTAATCACATCTTTCAAAGCCCTTCCCAGTAGCATTTAAACAATATTTAACCAACTATCTGGGCACCATAAGCCCAGGTGACACATAAGTCAACCATCACACACGCAGTCTGACCAGAACCTGCAAGAAAGTCACAGTGTGACAAGAAAGAACCTGCATAGCAACTATTGGGCCTGTTCCACCCCCAGAACCAGCAGAAATAATAAGCTGATTGCTGCTATTTTGAGAGCACTACATTTGGGGGGGAATTCATTATGCAGCCACAGCTAACCAGAACACAATTCAAGCTTCAACCCCACTGCCTGCCTTCCAGGAGCCTTTCTGTAAGGAACATATATTCCACATCTACTTTCCAGCCATGCCTCTTTCTCTCCTGCAGGGCAGTGCTTTCCCCGGGAGCCCTGGATTCAAGCTAGCTTGGTGTTAGGGGTATTTCAGCTGCCCAGTATTGGGAACTGTAGTGGATGTGGCTCCCTCTTCCTGCCCTGCTAATTCCTGCTCACCTTTCCTAACAACACGGAATCTGTTTTATACTTGTATTGTCAACTTCTGGCCCCTCCAATTGTCAGTGAGCATTTACGGAATACTGAATAAAGGCACGGTGTCTCACTGACAGGCCCCAGCATACAGGAGGTGAGGCTGCAATGGCAGACCCATGCCACAGCCACACCGTGGACTGCCTGCAGGAGCCGGTGGAGTAGGGGATGAGCTCCCTCCAGACTCTGTGTATGTCTAGGGTCCGCTAGGTGATGATCCAGAAGGAGCCCGCAGTGCAAAGTAGGGGTTGCTCAGGCTGGGGAAATGTCCTTGCTTCTTCCCTGAAACTTGCCCACCCAAGTCCAAGGGCTCCCCCTACTGTCCGTGTCTCCTCTGAGCCCCAGTTTGGCCCAGACACCAGGTAGAGCTCATCAGGAAGGGCAGGTGGCTGGAAATACAGCTGGTAAACAGGTATATCATGTCCTTGGGAGAAACAAACACACAGGAGGAGAGAGACAGAGGGGTCTACAGATGGGGCCTCTGACAAGATGACACTGAGCAGAAAACAGAGCAAGAGGGTGTGAGAGAATCTGACTGTGAGCAGACACAGTTGTGCCACGCAGACAAAGGACAGAGAAGGGCCGAGAGTGGCCAGATCAGTGCAAGGGGCCAGGGTAGCTAGAGACGAAGCAAGAGGCAACAGAGTCAGACCCAGGCAGGTTTCGGGGAGGGCCAAGGCCAGGGTCTGCCCCACGGGCTTTCCAGATGGACACCTGCGGGCAGAGGAAGGATCGCCCGAATGAGTGTTCGTAAGTGAGGACTGTGCAGCAGCACCCCACAAATCGTCCCCACGCCTCAGTGCCTAAGAGCCCAGGTCAGTGCAGACTGTCGCGTGCTGCTGTGTACATCCCTGAGGACGGGAACGGGAATCCACCCAGCTCTCCAGACACAGGCAGGCAGACTGGGAAAGCATGACCCTGACCTTGTTAGTGAGGACTAAACCACTCTTCTCCTCCCAGCCACAAGAGTGCATTCCCAGGGAAAAGAGGGGTGGCCCCAGGGGGACCCTAAAATCCAGTTTCTATTACCCAAGCAATCCAGAATAACACAGCCTGCCCATTATGTGCCCAGTGTGTCTTTCATGTCATAGTCAACAGGCCAGGATGGTCACTAGCATGACACGCAGCCTTCAGTCATAAATTCACGAGGGTCCTAACTCCTACCGTGCCCATGAGAATCAAAACAGCACAAGACAGGACAGTGTAATATGATAAATACAGCACCGAGGTCCCTCGCTTATCCTGCTTCAACTTAGGATCTTCACTTTATCGTGTTGCCAACGTGGTATGCAGTCCTCCTGATATGGTGGGTACACACCTGCAATCCAACACTCCAGGAGGTGAGGCAGGAGGATGGCAAGCTGCCGTCCTTAGGAAGACTTTAGGAAGACCCTGCCTCCACATAGCAAGGTTTGAAGAGGGCTGGGATGAAGCTCAGTGCAAATGCCTAGAACCGTAATAAGGAGGAGGAGGAGGAGGAGGAAGAGGAGGTGGAGCGGGGAGGGCAGAAGCAGAAGAAGCAGAGCAGTGCGAGCAGAAGGGGAAGACAAGAGGGCGGGAAGCGGAGGGAGGGGCGAAGGAAGCACAACGGGACTCAGTAAGAGTCTGCTTCAAATTTTGAATTTGGATCTCCTCTAGGTCCTTCCTCTCTGCCAGGGCTGTTAGCCCTGCAGTCTCAAGGCGAAACAGCCCCACTTCACCGTGCTGTGCTGCTAAGCGAGGGTGTTCATAGACCGGGTTCATTCACTGCATTTTTGACCTACCATATTTCCATTTCAGACAGGCCTGTCAAAACCGGACATGGTGGAGTCAGGCCGAGTGTATCTGCCCATCCGGGACAACAAGGTCAACGTGAGGAGAGTGGGAAGGGCCCCGAGAGGCTGAGGTAGGCTGCTCAGGTGGGGTGGCCCGACTCCCCATCACCCTCTGGGAGGCAGGAACCCCCACAAGCAGCTCTCAGAGGAATGCGCCAGCCAGCAAGCTGCAGAACAGAGGGCAGAGGCTCAGCTCAGGCTCTGGGGTCAGCGTGGAGGCCCTGGTGCAGCTCAGTGCCCTGGCCAAGCACCCCTCTCTGCTCCTGCTGTGAGGGCACGGTGGACAGCAGAGACACAGGGTCAGCCAGACTGAACCCCCAGCTGTCTCCAAGCTTTCTCACCTGGGTCTGCCACCCAAACCCTTCCGGTCCCTCTTCCTCTCTGCGAGATGAAGACAGTGACAGCCCAGGGCCTGTCCCCCAGGTGAACCTTGACCCCCATGTCTCTAGAGCATACTCGGGACCTCCCACCTGCCATGACTGATCACAGGCACAGCCTGGCCCTCTTTCCTTAGTCTCCAACCATGCTTACCGAGTTCCACAGCCAGGTGCAGCACCTGAGCAACAGCCACCCCATCCCACACTGTGTGTGTCTGGAAAGGCTTTTTTCCAAAACATGGCTCCATCTGTCAACAATATTTATGAGGTTGTCATGAGGTGATACAGAAATATTCACAAGTATAAAAGGGCCTGGCTTTTGGTACCTATATTTTACAGTAAGCTGTGGATATAGATAGTTTGGGCTATACAGAAAAACAATCCTGACATGCTTGTTAAACTCCTGAAACAACTTTTTCCACATTTATTCATGGACAGGGCCTCAAAGGGCCCCCAATAAAGAATGCTCTAAAATGTTTAAATCCTATCCCCTGAGCCACCCATCCCTACTCCAGGAATGGACCCCTAACCCCAGAGAGCCCACCCCAGCTGGGAGGCAGGAAGGAGGAGGGAAGAGAAGGCAAAGGCTAGGACTGTGGCCCGGACCCCTCCTCAAACCTGAACATCCTGCACCCAGGCTCCTGCGCTCAGAGTAAGGCGCCAACGACACAGAGCTGGGGAGGATCAGGTTCCAGTTGGCTGCCACCTTCCATAGGCTCAAGTGAAGGGCACGAGTTGGCTCTGGGGGGCCACCCACCATGGCGGCTGCTATTCTTGGGGCTGGATGAGGGACATGGCACAGGAGCACCTGGAGACACAGCCCAGAAGAGAGGGGACAGGGAAGCATCCTCCACCTCCATCCTCTCCCTCCCTCATCTCACTCTCAGGCCCACCTGAAAGCCAGCCGGCAAGGACACTTCCTAGAGCAATGGTGGTGACGTATGGCACAAGTGCCACAGCAGGCTTCCGTTACCGCTGAAGTCTCTAAAAGGTCTGCCATTGCTGTCCTAGGGTGTGTGCATAGGTCCCTCCTGGGAAAGGCAGAAAGGAAGGAAGGAAGGAACAGCTAACACCCTAACTGACAGTAGCCTTACTGGTGCCTATGGCCTCCTGGGCACTTACGATTCTCTTCCGGGTTGTTCTGCTTTGTTCTTCTCACTAAACTCACAGTGTAGAGTCATTAAGTCCTCCTCATAGTAAGTTCAACTGAGGGTGAGCAGCAGGATGACCTCCCAGGGGCTCAGTAGCCCATCCTGGCAAGCTTTGACTGCAGCAGGATGGGGATACCCCTGTGGAAAATAGGCGGTCTTCTGCAAGAGTCCATAGGCTGGCACCTGGACCCAGGGCAGTACCTGGGCGTGGCCGCAGAGGGAGTGACTGAGCTACTGAAGTCTGTGCCGGGAGGGACCAAAAGGGCAACTCAGCAGCGGGACGGGGCAGAAGCTCAGAGGACTTACAGGAAAAAGCCTGAAGCTTCAACACTGCAGGGGCAACAAGCAAGACAGATTCATTAAGACAGGCCTGAGGCCTCCCAGGGCCCGGTCAACTCCCCTTCCTTGTCCAGAGTTCAGGCGAGTTCCGCTGAATCATTCATCTAATAAAGTATTATCTATTAACACAGGGAAAGAATCAAGTCAGCAGCTACATGAACTGAAGTTTCTGGCGGTGTCAAGGCCAGTGGAGACAATGGCTTTAAATTACCAAGGGACAGTCACACAGGACAAGAAGGCACGTGTGGCAGCAACACCTGGTCTGCAACACCCCAGTCTGCAGAGGGGAAGGCAGAGAGGAAAATGGTGCCATGAGTCTCAGATAGCCTTCGTCAAGTGGCCTTAGGTGAGCCATGTACAGCCTTGAAGAGAACAGTTACAGGTGCCAGCAGAAAAGATCAAGTGAGAGGAATCTTCATGGGTCAGGGTGAAGGTCTTCAGCAGAGGCTTCTTGGGGCAGTAGCCCGAGCTGAAACTCTGGGCAGCCATCTCTCACTGTGTGAACCTTAGCCAAACAGCCTCATGCCTCAACCGCAGCCTAAAGATTTCTAGGCCGAGAGAACCCTCAAAGAGCCAAGCCAACATTTTGACCATGTGTGTGTCGAGATCACAGATCCCACATGGTCTGGGGGCCACTGGAGATAGCCCATGTGTGGTGCTCAGGACCTCTCCCTGGAGCCAGCCCAAGATGGTGTGGCAGCCTAGAGGTGCCTAGACAGGTTGCACAGCAGGATGGAAATTAGTTGGCTTTCCATCTGCCATTGGAAGCCATAGAACCTTAACAAATGTCTAGCCCTGGGTCCCTTGGTTCCTCCACGTATAATGTGGTGTAACAAGTGGAATCTTCTAAATCTGATCCTGGTGCTCCCTCCAGGCTGCCTAGAAATGAGCTTACATGACCTCACACCCTTGATCTCAGTGAGAGGGGACAAGAACCTAAGTTATTAGGGACAAAAATGCAGGGACTAGTGTGGCACAGGCTGGGGTGCAGACGAAGTCATCCATAACCTCACTACAGCAGGATCTGGGAATCTGCTTTTGCCTGGCCTATATGTTTAACTGTCCAGCTCACATCCCTTCCAAGCTTCAGACAAACAGAACTCAGAAAAACAAGACCTCACTGATTCCCAGACAAATGCCAAAGAATGACTTTCTCCTCAGAATTCTCTAATTTGGTAGCACACAGAAGCATTTTGATGTTTCAGTCATCTCTTTTCCTATTTGTAAATCAGCATCCTAAATGGAGCTGCTTCAGTGAGCTGGTGACAAATGGACTTGAAATGCATTCTCCTGCACACTCATAAAGTTGATTTAATATTTCAATTAATCTTGCCTCTTCCTCATCTACAATGTATATGGTTCCTTTTTAAGCACGTCTTCTTTGGAGCTTAAAGGAGCACAAGTGTAAACACCAGTTAATTTATCTGTTTCCCTGCAGATAATTTCATTTCCCTGAAGCACCTCTCCATCCCCTTTATTGGTTCCCCCAGCCAGTGCATGGGTAATGGTCTCTAATTGCATTACAACCAAGGGCATCCATCATGTTGTGTCTTGCGCACTTTGAGGGGACATAAATTCAGATGCCCAGGCAGAAGAAAAACAGGCATTCCTCATGCAGGAAAAAGGGCTGAGCATGCAAAGCCAGGAAAAGGGACTGGTGTAGACCAAGAGAGTCTTCTGGGAGGTACAGGGTAGGCAGACAGCCATTGCCTGACTGGGTTCGGCACCCTGCCAAGATAGGGGTAGTACTGAGTGTGGCACAGCATAAGGATTTGTTTTTTGTTCTTTGGGGAAGGTATATGAAATCTACATTGTAATGTATCCTGGGGAAAACCTTGAGGCAAGATGCTTTTATGTAATGAAAGTTAATGAGGATATCCACTATAATTGTATATTTTCCATTTCTATAACAAAATACTTGATCCTGCAAGTTTGTAAAGAAAGATTTGGCTCCCAGTTTTATGTCCTCAACATGCATCCACTTAGCTTTAAATGACTCTAGTTTCTCTTCTTTATGGCTGAGTAGTACTCCATTTTATTTTTTTAAAAAATATTCAAATTCTTTATCTAGTCTCCAGTTGATGGGCAATTAGGCTGTTTCCAAGTTTTATCTATTACAAACTATGCTTCTATAAACATGAGTGAGCACTGAGGTAGGATTCTTTTAATTCTTTTGGGAAGATACCCAGCAGAGGAATGGCTGGGTCAAATGGAACTTCCAATCCTTGTTGTTCAAGGTATCACCATATTGATTTCCACAGTGGTTGCAACAGTCTGCACTCCCACAAAGAATAAAGAAAGGTTCCTTTCTTCCCAAAACCCCACCAGCATTTGTTATTAGTTGATTTCTTCACTTGATCTTAGCCAAAAGGCCGAGAAGCGATTTTTTAGTTGATTTCTTCATAGCAGCCATTCTTTCTGGAGTGAGGTGAAATCTCAGTGTTATTTTCATCAGTATCTGTTTTAATATTTAGGCTTTAATCCACTTTTATTTTAGTTTAGTGCACGGTGAAAGATAGGGGTCTAGTTTTAAACTTTGGAAAGTTGAAATTCAGTTTTTGCAACACCGTTTATTATAGAGGCTATATTTCCTCCAGTGAGGATAGTTGGCTCCTTTGTCAAAGATGAGTTAGCTGAGTATGTCTCGAGTTGTTTCTGCATCTTTTAATCTATTCCACTGATCCTCAGGTCTGTTTCTTTGCTAGTGCCATGCTGTTTTTATCAGAGTGGATTTGTAGTATAGTTTCATGTTGGGGATTGTGACACCCCCTGCCATGTCTTTGTTGCCTTGAACAGCTTTTGCTATTCTAGGTCTCTTCTGATTCCAAATGAATTTTTGGATTATTTTCTCTAGTTCAGTAAAATATACTGTTGGGATTTCAATAGGGATTGCATTCAATCTGTATAGCAGTTTTGGAAGTATGGCTATTTTCACTGTATTGGTTCTTCCTACCCCGGAACAAGGGATCTCTTTCCATTTTTTTATATCCTCCTCAATCTCTTTTTTCAGAGTGTTGCTGTTCTCAATTTAGAAGTCTTTTCTTCTTTTGTCATTGATTCCTGGATATTTCTCTTTTTTTTTTTTTCTGATGCTATTGTAAAAGGGACTGCTTCCCTAATTGCCCTCTCAGTGATTTTGTTATTTGTGTAGAAGAAGGTTATTGATTTTGTGAATGTTGATCTTGTATTCAGCTACTCTACTGAATCTGTCAATTAAGTCTAAAGTCTTTTGGTGGAGTTTTTTGGTTCTTCTATGTATAGTATCATGTTGGCAAATAATGACAGTTTCACTTCTTCCTTTCCTATCTTTATTGCTTTTATTTATTTCTCTTGTCTAACTGCTCTGGCTAATGTTTCCAAAACTATATTGAACAGGAGTGGTGAAAGTGGACATCCTTGTCTTGTTCCTGATTTTAATGTGAAGGTTCTCAGTTTTCAACCATTTAGTATGATGTTAGCTGTTTGTTTTTCATAGATAGCCTTTATCAAGTTGAGATAAAGACCATCTATTCTAATTTTCTGCGGGTTTTTTTATCATGAATGGGTGTTGGATTTTGTCAAATGCTTCTTCTGCATCTATTGAGGTGAGAGTATGATTTGTGTCTTTGATTCTGTTAATATAGTGTATTACATTTATTGATTTGCATACGTTGAATCATCCTTGCATTCCTAGGATAAATCCAACTTGGTCAGGGTGTATAATGGAGATTCTTGATAAAGGAGCGGGAGACACTCACTTCACAGGCACCCCGTGGCACTGTGATAGAGAGAAAGCTCAGACATAGACCCACACTCTCCCTAGCAGCTGCATCTCTCCAGCCTGCACCTTCATTTGCACCATCTCTGCTCAGGATCATTGCAGCAGCCTTGTGTTTGGCTTCCCAGACTGGAACCAATGGCTCATTTTTTGCCTTCTCCACTGTCAGCCTCCTCACTCCTTCCATATTATTTTAACCTCTTCCTTCATCTTGATGCTTGCTCATTGCCTTAGGCTTATACTATCAAAGCCTTTCTCATCTTCCACTATTATCTGGTACTTTCTCCACTAGAGAGCGCCTTGATTAGGACAGGACTGCCTCCTTCACTGCCATATCCCCAGCAATAACAGTGCCAGGTATGCAGCCAAATGTCCACTGAAGGAAAGACTAGACTGAATGATAGACGAATGGATGGATGGATACATAACATACCACAAACTGAATACTTAGAACAATAGGCCATTGCTTTTAGGAAACAGTCTTTGAGTGTCAATGACCCAAACCTAAAACACCATCTTATGTATTACAAGAGAAATTAAGAATTCTTATGGAAGCTGCATTACTGATTTGTTGGTTGATCTTGGACTCAGTTTCCTCTTATGACTAGAATGAGCCAGTTTCTAAGTCCTATAAGGCTAGAATAAAATAATCCAAAACGATTCTAATAAAAAATCAAGAAAAAACATAATATTAAGTATATATCAATTTTTAAATGCATAGATGGGCACATAAGAAATAAAAATCTTTAGATGCCAGAAACAAAGAAAGATGTAAGTATATAAGCTAATGTTTCGGTTAGTCTGTTCAGGAGGATGGGAGGGTCCTGGCCCCAGTTAAGTAGAGAGGTAATTGTTAACATTTACAAAGGACCAGCAATAAGGATTTGAAAACAAAAAGATGATAAATTTTAATTACATACAACTTTGAAAAGCACTGAAATAGAACTTCTTAAAATAAAAAAGTGATTTAAATAAATGTAAAAATACAAAAATGAGTTCAATATCAATGTACAAACTTTTAAAAAATAGTAAATGAGAAGAAAGAATTGAGAAATTTATGAAAAATGAGATTCAAAAGATAACAAGTATAGAACAAACCAACCAACAAATAAGTGACAGAGCCTCTGTGAGAGTTAAAGAGTCTAACAAATGCGGGTAACAACAATACTGCAAAAGAGAAAATCCAGGCCTCGTTCTCCAAAATAAACACCAATTTAACAATAACATATGGAGCAAAATACTTTTCTGAGAAATT